TGTATTTATTATTCAGAACCTTAGAACCCTATAACTTTAATAACCCAAACTTTGTTCATACTTATTGTGGAAAGAAAGAGACTAGAGTAAATTTGTGAAAATGATATCGGATACCTTATAAATATACAAATCCTTGATTAACTTGGCGAGACAAATTAATATAATTTCAACTAGCTTGTCCTTCTATTAACGCAAGTAGCCTTTCAGCTGTTGTGTTAAAAATATAGTAAATAAATTAATTAGATACTAGTAAGTCGGAACATTATGGTTAATATACAGAACCAAATGACTTTTTTTCTCAACTAAATTATGTTAATATTCAACAGCTTTGGCTTCAACAAGTTGGTGCAATAATGAGGTTGGAAACATTTGATGGGCTCCACAACATCATATAATGATCCTGTGTATTTATCATTAGATTTATAGGATCTCATTTCTTTCGATATTTTTTAATTGGTATATGGATAATGTTTTGCTCGAGGGAAACACGCGAGTCTATGTGTAATAGACTTATTATTTCATTGACTTAATTCTAATATACAAATGGTGAAAGAGTATAAGACACGTTTTTTAAGTCCAACATTATGTTGAGTTGCACATATGTGACAGATAAGACACAGACAAACCAAAGATCCTATATGCGCTGAGTTATTGCCGACGGGCTCAGTTGCTCAAAAATTTCGGATTGACTTTCATTCGAACCAACGATGTAGCACATATTTCTGAAATCGAATTCAAAGATTAATGGTATACAATTTTCTTTTTTTATTATTAATTATTTACTAATTTACAAAGTTATAACGTAATTATAAATTACATCTAACTAAAATTTATAGAAGAACTTTATTTTATTTATTTCTTTTTTTTTGTGTGGGGAAAGGGGGATTTGTGGAGGGGATAGGGTGTAGTGTTTGAAGCTAAATTAAAGTATACATATTTTTTTTTATTAGTTAAATTTAGGAGTATAAATCAACAGATTGGAGATACTTAATTATAAGCAGAATGTTTGATTTTGAGGGGTCAACTAATAGGTTGAGCAAATTTGTGTTTCCAAATATAGTGTTTCTATATTTTAAGAGATGCGGGCATTCGGTAAGTATATGTTGCATTGAATATCAAATGTTGCAGAACGGACAAGAGGGTGGTGGAAATATTTAATTATAAGCAGAATGTTTGATTGACTAATATAGACTAATAGGTTGATCGGGTTTGTGTTTTCAAATATGGTGTTTCCGTGTTTCGAGAGATGCGAGCATTCGGTAAGTATACGTTGTATTGAATATGAAACGTTGCAGAACAAAAAACAGGATGGTGATGATCTGTTTAATAAGTATGAGTGGGTTAAATTGGTACGTCCTAGTCTCAAGCGGATGTATTTGGTAAGTAATGCTCGTGGGAATTTAAGGTCATGTTTAAAAGGGGTGAAATTGACAATGGAAGTTTTATTGAAGTTAATTTTTTTATAATGAGAGGAGGAGTTGTCATAAAAATTCGGACAATTTGCTTTAAAGATGGTATCTAAATAATTGGAGAGGTCTGAGCTATTACGATTTTCAGTAAGTATGAACTGATATTTCCAATCATTTTTAGCTGCCTCATGGGCTAGTACGTTGCTTAATTTACTTTTTAATTAAGCCATTCTTAAAGATTTAATCATTATTTTATGATTTAATTTTACCTTAAAAATCATGACTCTAAACAAAAACACACTTTACTGAGGCATAGGTAATTTCAGTTATAAATTGTTGGATGCTGTTTCTATCAGAAAGTTACATTCAATGAAGGACGTAGCTTTAAAATACAAAATAAATTTCATTCCAAATGCATATATCATTTTAGGCTCTCTTGAACTATTGTAAAACTCAAAACCATTCTCTAAAACCAAGATTAATTATTGATTTAATTATTTCAACTATCCTAGTGAACCCATCATATTTTGAATTTTTGATTTAAGCACAAATTTGTTTTGAATTATTTTTTGGTGTTCCAAGTTTCCACAGACAATTTTTGGTTGAAGTAAAAACAAAACAATTTATTTTGTGGCTGGGGAAAAATTTGCATATTTTATGGTGATAAATAAAAACTTTCGTAGTAAATTGAAACCTCTTTTTTGCAATTTCACTTTATGTTTTAAACATGAAGTGGTCAAGCATTTTTATTAAATATTTGCTAAATATGCTAAAATTTATTTAGTCAAGTTTTTGTGGTCTCTCAGTGAAGCGCCTGTTTTTGCATAAAAATGCATGTTTCATGCATTCAAAAGGACAAAAGAGCTATATAAAATAATTCAAGAACAAATATTTTAGTATCATAGATCAATCTTTTTTCTTGTTTAATTTAATTTTTTTTATTGTTTATTTGTGGTTTATAATACATTGTATACTCTCTGATTTATATTTACATTGAAATTTGTGGTTAAGTATGTTAAGTAAGGGTATGTTAACATAAAAATTAAGCTTTGTTATAGATGTTTTTATTATTAGAGCACAGTACGTATTGATAAAATTTATACAATTTTATTAAATAAGAAAAGTTGCTATATAAAAATTTATAACAATTATTTTTCAATTGATAACAGAGTTAGGTTTATACATTGAAAACCTACTGACAATTTTCTGCTGACAGTGATTGCTCTTTGCCCATTATTTGAAACAACCATGCATCACTCCATTAGACATTTCTATCAAATAATGAATATTTTTTGCCAATTTAAGCATTTATTCTTTACTCTCAAATTTCATTGTTACATTTTATTGTATTTGCAAAATACGAAAATAAAATCATAGGACTAAAATTAGATAGTTAGAGAAGTCTCTTTATATAGTTTCAAATGAGGCCGATGACTCCTCTACAGACTTTATTAAAGAATAAACAGAGTGACGAATCATTTATGGATTAATGATAAAGACTGTAGACAAACTACGACCCTTTTTATAACTTTAATAATATTGTAGATTAATTGGCACTAAGTCTACCTATTTTCTAATTTTTTGTAGATATATATCATTTTGTTTTAATATACGACTATGATTGCTGATAACTTATCACTTTATATATAATTTGGTGATAGTTTTTAGTATACTTTGTCACAAATTGTATTATATTTAAATTGTTTTATTTTTTTGAATGCAACGAAAGGTCACAAATATGTATTAATATTATTAATTATTGATATCACAGTGATAGCTATAGTCTGTTAAGAACTGTTAAGACTTGTCTTCCGAAAGTTTCATTCAGCAGTATAGCTAATATTTCGCAAAATATAAAACGTAAAGCTTTCTCTAAATTACTAATTAATAATGAGAAAAATATAGAAGTTTGAAATGTTAAATATAGAAATTTTAATCTTTAATTTTAAAATATATTTTATTTTCTTTATTAATCTTTTTACAATATGTAAAGGAGTTCAAAATATTTTGGTCACAAGAGTGGCTAAACCAAATGATACATCACTCATTTTAACAGTTATTTTCTTCCATTGCTCCAAATAGGATAATAAGCCTAATAGTGTTCATCTTTTGTTGATAATGAGTCTTGCCATATCATAATATATCGTAAGATATCACCAATGCTCAGTGCACTGAATAGTTAATAAATCTAGATCTTCTTCAGCAATTTTATAAACGGTAGCATAACTATCTTAGCTGATTTAATAATGACTACGTTTTAGCACTTCTGTTACAGATCTATTTCTTATCAAAATTCTTCACAGTTTTTATTAAAGCGCGCTGTGATAAATGATTATGTCGACCATAATCTACTCGTAATGGACAAAGTGTTTTTTATACAAAGCCACTAATTTTAGTATATTTTTATATTAATTGTTAAGCGGTTGTTAAACGATCCATATTGTAACTTGACAAACCTAAGCTAAGCATAAGATCCTTTGCGTAAAAGGTTTGTTTGCCACATTTCACTGACATAATATTGTTAACATCGTATAACGAAATAGATATTCATTTAGTTTTATTTTAATATTCCTTTTTTTATAAAGCAAATAAAATACTAAAATAAAATTTGTAATGATGTACTGGGTTATATGACAAGAAAAAATGTCTTGCATACCTATTTGTCCAAGCCATGGATTTTTATTCATTTGCCACCTTATGATAAGCTGTATGTTACAATTTTGCATAAGATGCATTCTGAAAAACATGTACGTATAATGGTTAAATGCTGTCACTAATAATTTTTCTGTGACATTTATATCATAATATAAGCCATTTATTTCACAAACATAAATAATTCCACTCCTTTAAACAACAGCAGAGTTTAAATTTATAAAAACTGTTGAATGGTTAGCCAACATTCAGTGTAACAGAGAAATGTTAAAAAAGTGGATTCCATTTAAATACTTAGCATAGCTGTAAGGAGACTGTTGTTCGTTACAGTCGCTATCTGCTGGGATGCTGTTAAAATCTTATAAAGCAGCGCGCACTGTCACGTTGATGTCAGTTTTATTAAATGTCTGTTTACAAACGGTAACTGTTGCAAAATGCGGTTGAACAGGAGTTACAGTATGAAAGTGAAAAGCATTTACCGGTGAATTGCTATAGATAACATTCTTTACATTTTATTATAAAAAAATGATTTCTCATATGAATACAAGTTTTTAAGTGTGTTCGAGTTCGTGCGCTGCAAGTCATTGTAATAGTGAAAAGTTTACCATTGTTATTTGAAGCAATTTTAATAAAGGAAAACGTGAATTCTCTCGTAAATCAAAAATAAATACAATGAAAATCTTGAATTTGAAATTTTGTGAAATTTTGTGAAAATTTGAAAATGGAAAAACTGTGTAACAAAAAATCCTATAAATTATAAAAGCACTAAAAATCTTGAAAAAGCAATAAATTTCAATTTTCTTTGAAAGTGAACACATTTGTTATTTTTTCGCTAAGCTACCCCCTTCAACACTTGACAACTCCTTTTTTATTATTAATTCTGTTTGAGAAATTGCAACAAATTTTACACTTACGAAGAACATGCTTGAAGCTGCAACTTGATGTCGTTAACTTTTTGCAATCGAAAATAGCGTAAAATACGCTTTATCGTTCGAGTTAATGACATCCGGTGAATGGGATTTACGTGCTTTAAAGGCACTCGAAGAAGAGGAACAAAAAGAATTTCTTGCATTGAGTCAGAAAAGTCTTTTCGAGCCACCATCACCACCAGCTGGAACACAATCAACAACTAAACAAAGTCATTCTCAACAACAGCAACAGCAACAGCAACAAAAACAACTGCATCAGCATTCGCCACACTCCTCACTATCGTACGCTCAATTACATCCACATTTACTTAAATTACCAACTATAAATGAATACAATTTAATAGCAAAGCGCAATCAGCAAAATGCCAATTCGACAGGTCGTTTAAAGTTTACACGCGCTCTATCACTTTCGGCGCATTCCCTAACAGGACGTGGCAGTGGTTGTGCTGGTGGAGGCGCCAGTAGTAAAAAGAGTAAACGTAAGTGCGCTGCATCTAAATCAATTGGTTCACTTTCACCGCCACAATATAGTGCCTCCCCAGTGTATACACCACCCCCAGTTAGGCGCTGTGCCACACTTCATTACACGCAACCTGTGCGTAAAACTTTTAAAACCTTGCAGCAATTGGAAAAACAAAAGCAAGAGAAAAAAAAGGAAGCTGCCTTAAAAAACCATAAATCGCCACAACTGCAGCGTGTTGCTGGCACCAACAAAACATTTTGGAAATACGGCGCTAATTCAACGGCAGCCTCTATAATTGGCCAACGTAGTTTGTTAAAACTTAAGAAACAATCCGCTGATCTTGAGTCAAACACTTCAGACGAAGTTGGTTCCGAGGAAGCCAACACCACCGAAAGGCAGGAAAGCGCACATAAATTAGCTGTGCATCCTTCCTTACTAAACGACTACGACGATAGTGCCACTGATACTGGGTCTTGCACTGTGCCATTTGCAACGGACTCTATTGAGATGATGCGTCTTATGCTTTCCGCGGCTACAACTGCCGTTACAACTCAGCCTGCCGCTATGGCAGCTTTAGATTATCTAAATCCGCCACCTGATATTGCTGCCGGCGCAACTAGTGGTACCGAACTCAACGACTACAGCAAGTTTGCTAACAACCAATTCCTTACACTCTCACACTACCCAACACATATTCCACCCTTGGAACCAAACGAAACTGTTGCTTATGAAGCTTTTCAAACCTTTTCACGCGGCAAAAGCTTTTCTGGCCGTCACGGTGGTGCCACACTTGTACGTGGCAGTAGCTTAATAGAAGAACAACATGTTGACAGAGATAACAGCGCTGCTATTTTAACACGCAATGTTAATGGCAGAAAAATGTTAAAAGCGACGTCTGTTGATACACCAGGTGTTGAATATGCTGGCGGCATACAACCAACAACAATCATAACAAATCCTATTGTGGAAGGCATTAAGACCAGTACGGCATCGAAATTAAGTCATATGTGTCACTTAACTAAAACTAAAGCTCAAACGAATCTACTGCCAACCGCTATGGTGGGCTTACGTTTTCATGATAACCCACACAATACGAATATGCATCATCAACAGCAACATCATGTCGCTGCTATGTTATGTCAGGATATCACATCAAACAACAGCAGCAGCAACAGTCCACCTAATGCAATTGACGATGAACTAGAACAACATATCAAGCATTGTTCCTGCTCTTGCAATCACATGGGCTATGGTAATTCCATGGACTACCAGGTGAGTATGCATGAATGGTTGTAGTTTTAATAGCTTGTTGACAAGGTTTTTTGGAATTTCAGTACATCTGAACAGTATATGCAGAATGTAAGTTAGTGTGACTATGAGCGAGAATTTGTATCTGTGCTTTTGTGTTACGTACCAAAATATAAGAACTCGCTTTTATGGTCGTGCACTTTCGTAAATGATTCTTGTGGTTATAATTATCTTGTTAAGTAAACTCTTCTGTATATGTTGGTCTCCGTTTTGGCAAATGCAGTTTTTGGCTTCAGTATTTCCCACACATTATTTTCTACAGCATTTCATATTGTCCTTGTTGTTGTTTAAAGGTGTTTGCTTATAAACGTAAGTGCAATTAATTTCGGTCTTATCAAAAGCACCTGATGCAGGAAAGTAGGAAACGAATTAATGTGCAAGGAAGAAACCTTTTGCATTTCCCACACTTTTAATCAGCAAATAAATTGGAACATGAGAAATTGGTTGGAAAATAATGATAAATATTTAACAATTTTTATTAATTTCATTACATTCTTTTTTATTTAAAATGAATTAAGAAAAACATATAATATATTTTGTGCGAATACATGCTGTACAGTGTATGTATGCTAAATATATTTTTATATCAAATATATTAGCGAATATTATTTTTTTTAATATTTACTTCAAAGTCATTTTATAATAATAATAATGATAATTATTTGCGTGTTTTTATCTATATATATCATTGTTTTTGAATAACAGCAATTAAAAATGGAATATCATTTTAACAGTTGCTTTTAAAGTGATGTGTTATTGTAATGTATTTTGCTGATATTAACTGAAACTTCATTACAATTTCAAATCGTGAATAATTATCAAATGTTACAATGACATTTTTATAGATTACTAATAAAAAAATGGTTCATTCAAATTTTAAGGTTTATATATATTTTTGTTTATGTTCTCAGATAGCAAATGTATTAGAACACATATTAAAAATGGGAAATTCTGTCCTTACTATCGTTAAAATACTTATTACTTAAGTTTTTACTTGATTTTTCATATCAATTAAATAATATAATTTAATATAATATAATTTATAATTGTCTGAGGGGAAGAAAAATGGAAAAATGGATGATCTATTAAGACTTCGGACATCGTTACTTTCATATAATAGAATCATAGCTAGTAAGTTTAATCACATATTTTATATAAAGACCTCATAGACTAAATAGTATGAGTAATTAAACTGTAATTAGCTGTATTGCTAGTCTTCGATTTAGCAGAATGGTAAGAAATAGATTTGTTTAAAAAAATAAACAACTATTCTTTTTAATATGTTAATTTATTATAGTTTTCTTGATTTCGAAGTTTTTTTATTACAATAAGTACATATGTTTGCTTTTTAAATTGTCAATAAACTAATAAAATATACATAAGGTAAGCTCCTGAATACTTCTTCAAAATTTTTACTTGATTCGTCTCCTCTATTTGTGTAAATTAATAAGCAGTTAATTATGTTCTTCAGGATATGTTACAAATTATCACCTGCTCTTTTAATATTTTTATCTCAAGAAAATAAAAAGCAATCAACAGTAAACTTGTTGCTTGTTTTGAACTTAGTTCTTCAATAGCGTCAAGAAATTTAATGATTTCGAATCCGAATTGTTGGTTAGATATATAAAAATTTTTTAAGGTTAATTTTTTTTCGTCGAAATGCCGCGTCTTATGATCAAAAGAATCTGTTTAAAAGTTAGAAAGGTTCGAATAGAAATTAAAAAACAAGAACAAAATTTTTAGTTAATTTATTGAATTTTGGCTGACCAAACAATAAATAAAATTAAAAAAGTGACAAAAAACTTGAAACTTGAGCATTGAAAGTTTGTGCAGACTTGGTTATTTGAGGAAAAACACGTTTAGTCATCGTTTCTAATTTGATAGGCACGATTTCTAAACCTGGTACTTACAATCCAAACAAATTATATGAGGATAATAAAGTAATTAAAAAAGAAATGCGAATACTTTCTTAGACCACTGATGATGAGTAGCTGGCAATACTCGAAACATTGTTGTATGGTCAAGCATACTTCAATAAATTAGCTAAAATTTTTATGTTTGTCTTTTCATTTCTATTTGAACCCTATTATATGGTAATTTATTTTTGTATTTAAATTGACTTTCATCTGTCGCATTATTATTTTTCGGAAAGTTTGAATAAAGTTGTCAGCAAGCTTAGGTTTGTACAAGTTAACTATTTTTGCAGTTTTGAAGGTTGTGGAATAGGTATTCTTTCTGCAACTTTCCAGACTACTAAAAACTACTTTAATTTGACCACTGTATTTCTAAATAATTTTCAAGATAACTGTTGCATTAGTAAGAAGCTTTATAATTTGCTTACCATTTAAAATCGGGCGCTCCTTAAAATCCAAATAAATGTTATACATAGCAGGGCTATGTTTGAGAAAGAAAAGTTATTCTGATAAAAATGTTCAGTAAAGTTAATTGATTTATATCATTTAAATTATGGAATCCATTACAAAAACCCAGCTGCTCGTTCACACATATAATTGTTCATATAAAATATTTATTTAATACTCTTTGGTACTGTTTTTTTATATTAACATATTGAAAACAGAAAGAACATAACTTACTTTTTGGTGGACTGCGAGTATAAATACCCACATGAGTATATATTTGTATTGGTAAACATATGTATAGTGTTTTCTATATGTAGTGTAGTACGAGTAGTTTCACTTGACATTCTTGTACCTGCATTCAGCTATTTGCATTTGTTGTTTGTTGGCTTCGCTACCACATACATTTCTGACATCTGTAACTGATTTAATGATTTATGATCACATCGATGAAAGTATAATTGTTGTACAATTCCACCAGTGACGTACAGAATGACGAGAGGTGCTTATTCAACTGCTACCGAATCGCAATTTTCCTTCAGATCAAAAAGTAAAGCTGCTCTTTTCTCATCTTTTATTAAAAATTTATGCAACTGTACTTCAGTACAGTATGAAATGACGTTCTTGAATGAATAAAGGAATTGCATTTTCATTTGCTGCGTTGCATTTTTATTCCATCAATTCTTCTTGTCTATTTTTTATTTTTTCACGTCATTTTTTTTTATAATATCCTTTTTCCTATCTTAATGATTAAGTACATATTTATGCAATTTTTCAACTCAATGGAATATTAAAATGCGTTGGCAAAAATATGAACCGCGAAATCATGAATAAACTTTGTTTTGAAATATCCTTTGGGTGAAGGATATCGTATTCCTTAATGTACTCAAAGAGCATTTGCTGATTTTAAATTTTAATATTTTTTAAAATAAAATGCAAATACAATTTGTAGTGTCTGTTGTTACAATTTTTAAATTTTAGTAAAGTATTTAGAATATAATTAATTTGAGAATTGCGGAAATCACGAGAATTGAATCCGAGCCTAGTAGTAGGTAATTTTTTATTATTAAATAATACACTTTGAATGCACCCCGACCTAAAAGATATATTGTGCGCCAATAGTAGGTTGACTCTGATATATAAATCTATAGTGGTATTGTTAATATATGATCGTCCAAAGATCTTATTACATCTAGGAGATATAGCGGAATAAACATGTGAATTTAAATTTATGTAAATTTAAGAATCCTTCACAAAAGTTAATTGTTTTGAAAGCTAATAAACTCTTCAACCAGACAGAGCTCCAAATGCAGAGAAGGAAACGTGGGCTTAAAGATAGATGATAAGATTTTAAAATAAATAATTTTTAACACATTAGATCGTATTAAGCATATGATTAATGCTGATGCAAATGCTAGTTGTATTCTTGGTATATCAATATAGATACCATGAAAATTTCAGTATCAATTAGACAGCTAAAATAATGCAAAAGGTCTCTATGAAAACTAGTTTAAGTAAGTCTTAAAAAAGCCGTAATCCGAATCGGATTGTGATACACTTTTTCAGTACTCAACATAGTTTTGAACTGGTTTTGAGCATTGTCACACTATATGCTGTAATTCTAACTTAAAGATAAAACAGATTTTAGATCCTTGCCAGATACGCACAAAATAAAGTATTCTTAGATTAGATGCTTTCATCAGACACATGTTACGAAGTATTGTTCTGCTTTTGAGATATATAGGATATTTTTAATGTAGATATAATTTAGTTGTCCTCTGATACGGATCACATATAGCACATATATAAATATATATAACATATATAAAACTTATCACAAAATTTTGTTTAGTGTTCTGATATGAACAATATTCGATACTTTTGTCTACATTGTATAATGAAAATTTTCAACGTGATATGAAAAAATTGAATGTCCTGAAATTAAAGATAATATGACTTTTAGATTTTAACTTGATGCGAACAGTAGAAAGTACCTTTACGAAAGATTTATTACTAATTTCGGAATAACAACAATCTCGTTCAGAAGTAATTTTAATGAGTGAAGAATAAAATCATCGACTACTTATTAAAATGGATATATATAGTAGGTCGCGTAAATTAAAGGTATTGTTAGTGCTGAAGCTTTGTACGTCAGACACATAGCTTGTTATTTGATCTGTGACAAAATGTTCTATTATGTTTGCATTCAATAAAATTTCTTAGTTATGGTAGAAATTACGATGAATATAGAAAACTTATTCCAATCTGATATGAATCGTTACCATACCCAACTATCGTGGGATTATCTAATGATAATCAGTTGGATAATCTAATCAGTAAGGCGTAAAGATTTTCTGTATACCTAATTGATTACATATTTAACAAATTTTAAGTCGAACGAAAAGCATGTTATAGTACCGTGAACCTTTATGAAACTTATATATTTACTCTATTTCTATTTCTGTTATGTTACATAGATAATACTTTAAAAGTTGACAACTATATTAGCTGATAACATACATATTTACCCAAAAAATTGTGTTCGAAATTAAGAAGTTTTCATTTATTTCAGAAAAAATTAATTCCAAAATGGGAATATCTTATGTTCTGTGTTGATCCTTTTTAAATTTG